TAATAATAGGTCTATCTGGCGCAAAGTTTAAAGGAATGGCAATTTACCGGTATTTTGGGTCATGCACGATGGCATTCAAAGCCTCATCCATTTTCTCGACGGTCAGGGTGTCCAGATCTAATTGTATCGCGATGTTAAGACGCACGTAGGTCTCGATGTTGGTAAATTGATCAGCAAACAACGGTATACCGAGCAGGGGGACGCCATAGTGGATCGCTTCTTGGGTGCCCATAAGACCTCCATGGGTGATGAATGCCTTTAGGTTCGGATGTTCTGCAAAAACAAATATCATGTCACCCAATACCATACCTCGTGGATCTATCTTGTTATAACACAGTTTCCTTCAAATATTCCCGAGATACAAAGTATTGAAAAACGAACCACTTCAAATGATTTATGGAAAAGAATTGTTATTCAACCTTCGAACTTGATTATGGTTGTTTGATATTTAATTACTTACTGAGAACTTTAATTTGCGGGAGCCACGTGAGGACGTGAACGTTGCTCGACAAGCCGGGTGGCAGCTCGTCCGGCTTTGCGATTTTCAGTAACACTCGAATCGGTGCTATGTTTGCTAGAGATTTATAGAAGATTTCTAGATAATGGCGCGGCATCGACTCGATCTTCACCATCGAGCCGAACGTGAAGTATACAAATCCCTGCGTGCTCTCGTTCATCCATTTCTCCAAACTCTGAAGAAGATCGTCATCAATTTAAACAATGATATACATGTACAATCATGGATGATATTAAGTGTACACATTTCAGAATGGAATGACAATTACGGGCGTGATCTCCACTCCTTCCTCTTGGACGTGCAACCCGCCGACTTCGATGTACGCCGGCGTCATATCCCTGATTCCGTTCGTCGATATATGCGAGTTGACCAAGATCATTGTGAATTTCTTTTCGAGTTCCCTGATGTCCGGCGCGTCCGGACTGACGTACTTCCTGAGCATGTCCGTCTGCAGGCTCGAAGCGCTGTTGAACTGATACTGGCTTTGAACCGCACTTAGGAAGTTGTAAGTCCTCTGCCAGAAGTTCATGTTGTTTGGATAAGAAATCAAATTATTCGGCTGGTACGCGTAATTTGGAGGATTCCCGATGTAATCGTGGTGCCAGGGGTACAGCTTGGACGAGCTGGCTCCTATTAATGGTACCTTCAGGATGTCACCTAGTATGGCGTAACAGTGGGCACCGAACACCTGAAACGATCATCAATTTATGGAATTGTTTAGGATATAAAAATCCAGCACTCTCATTCAGATCCAGCACTTCATTCTCATTTGATGTCAACGTGATGCTTTGAAACGTGATGATAATTCGTCCTTGAATTTGAAATCATAGTTATATAATATGCATGTCAGGCATAGGGTTATCAGTTATCTCAATTTATTTTTCAACCCAGTCGTATTAAACGTAATGATGATCTTTCTATTTATCGTAATCAGTCTCGTATTATAAGAATATAAGTAAATGTCTCAAGTTCTGATCCGCTCAGAATTTTTTAAAATTTCGTGTAAAATGACATACAACAATAGCTAATGAGCAAAAATTGGGACATTTATTATAAGATAATTGTAATTGCCAATGGATTTGGGAAACTAACAAAGTTTCTAAATAGAAATTCATTCCGGTGATAAAAATTGGTTTGTTCGGCGAATATTCTTGTATGACGGGGCAACAAACGCCGCGAGGGTGTCGAGGATAATAAACTGTAGCCACGTAAATTTAACGTCTCGAGTATTATACTGGCGGCTAATGAAATGGCTAAAGAGGGTGTGGACGGAGTATATTGCCTTTGGAAACGAAGTTGAACGAAGAAAGGGGCGGTGGGTCAACGGGTCATTTTGATATCGACATTTGATAACGCAATAACAGGATTTGCGGTTGGAGCCGATTCCGATCGCTTAAATTCGCCTAACTTTTAAAAATTAATCAAGTCTAAACAAGCAATGTCATCAGATGTAATTTTCACAGTACGCTAATGCATTTTTGAGAATTTTCGATAATTTAAACAAACACGCTGCTTAGAAGCTGCTATTAATAAAGGACTGTGACTTATGTAACGACAGAATGATGTTATTAATTACGAAATAGGGAGAAACAGTGATATTAACTTCGATACCCGTTACGAACATCGTCACGTTACATGTAACAAACAAACGTGAATAGACAAATTTGTTCTATCGAGTTATTCGCAATTCAATGTATAATAAATTTGTTTATCATTAATTATATACAATGCTAATGATGTTAAATGATACAACCATATAGTATACAAAAACAAAATCGTAACAGCGTACCTCCATAATGACGACGTCATAAGGTGGGTCTTTCGGCGGGTTGCGTATCAATTCTTGAAACTTTGGATATTTCAAGTTTTCGCAAATGTCGTTTCCTGTCATGGTAGCCACAGCGAAGGCCGACGACGCTCTGATCATGTTGTGCATCTCGTCGTAAGTCATATTGTTCATGAAATCCCTCGCAGTGGGTAACACAATCAGGTCGTTGTAATTCGGATACGGTTTCTTCAACGGGAACGTGCTGATCACGTCGACCTGGTGGCCCTTCCTCGCAAGGGCCTTCATCAGATGCTCGAACATTATAAAATGACTTTTCCCGTTGTATGGAAACATGCCTAGGATACGGTATCCGTCACTCGTCGCGAATACCGCGCAAACAAATAGTATGGACACCAACTTCATCTTTAATCCTCTTTTAATTCAGTTGAGAAATCTATTAAATTATTACTAATTTGCAATTGCTTGGTAAAACGTCGCCACTTTAAATGCACTAAATTCACGGTTTCAATCGTAATAAATTATTCACGAGTCACAGGAAATGAGTTTAATACATTGTCTCCGTGGAAAAGATCCCTTGATCACTATTACTGTTCTTACAAATAGAATTGCAACTACTTCTTGTAGGTCATCAATGTTGATAACTAGACTGTGACTTTTTATGCGAAATGAAACTTCTGTGATCTAAATAATGAACCGTAAATTAAGATTTCTTGTATCCTTCAGGAGCAATAATGTGTACTTACTCCAACACTTAATATTAATCTTTACTCATCAAACGCAGTTTTTCTATACTCTGCATTTAAGATTGCGTATAAAAGGATGAGCCAGTGAGTATAAATTGTTACAAGAACAGAAATCGGATCATTTACTAGAGTCTTTGAAGATTGATTAAATATTTACTGAAGTTTATTAAGAAAATAGATTAAAAACGAAGTTTAAACACTTGTTGCTACTGATGATCTTCAAGTCACAGCTAGCAACACATAACTGTCCGTTGTGCAACTGCAAGTATAGCGCTTGAATTATCACGTCGTGTTCAGTGAGATAAAGGAACAACAGTCAAGTGTTGACCACTGAAGATTAAATTCGTGAACAGTAGTGTTTATTCAGAGCAGTGGTTTTTAACATGTGTTCCGCGGAACACTTTTTTTTTTTTATTTCACTACTGCGCTCCGCAAAAAATTTGTAAAATTGTAAATGTTCCGTGATTCTTAACAATGTAAGAATCACTGGTTTAAAAAAATATAAATGTTATTAGTCAGAATATTTAAATCTGTATTATATCATTCTTCGATTTATAGATACAGTATTATCCATAAATATTCGAACACATTTCCAAATTGAATAACTTTATCAATATGCCACTTAACGAAATAATTTCTTTTTAGTTGTTAAAGATCAGTTTACTATATTGTAAATTATATACGTATATGTAGTTAACTACTGTGTAATAAACTAATCTTTCTGACATCTAAAGAAAAATTAAGTCGTT